CAACTCCCAGACTCAAGCAAGTCTCCAGCCTCTGCCTCCCAAGTAGTTGGGACTACAGGTGCCTGCCACAACACCTGTGTATTTTTTGTTGCAGCCATCATTGTTGTTTGGCGGCCCAGGCTGGATTCAAACCTGCCAGCTCAGGTGTATGTGGCTAGTGCCTTTGCTGCTTGAGCCACAGACTTCAAGCTATTCTTTCTTTCTTTTTTTTTAATAAAGACAGAGTCTCACTTTGTTGTCCTTGGTAGAGTACTGTGGCATCACAGCTCACAGCAATCTACAGCTCTTGAGCTTAGGCAATTCTCTTGCCTCAGGCTCACGAGAAGATGGGACTACAGGTGCCTGCCACGATGCCCGGCTATTTTTGTTGTTGTTGCAGTTTGGCTTGGCTACCACCACCTCCAGAATATGGGGCTGGCACCTTACTCCTTTGAGTCACAGGTGCCACCCTATTTTTTTGTTGTTGTTGTTGCAGTTTGACTGGGGCCGGGTTCGAACCCGCCACCCTTGGTACATGGGGCCGATGTCCTAGTCACTGAGACACAGGCACTGCCCGAACCTCTGGAGAATTGTGCTAAGTAAAAATAGCCAATTTTTTTTTGTACAGAGCCTCAAGCTGTCCCCCTGGATAGAGTGCCATGGCATCACAGCTCACAGCAACCTCCAACTCCTGGGCTCAAGTGAGTCTCCTGCCTCTGCCTCCCACAATGCCTGGCTATTTTTTGGTTGCAGCCGTCATTGTTGTCTGGTGGGCCTGGGCTGGATTAGAACCCAACACCTTAGGTGTATGTGGCTGGCACCTTAGCCACTTGAGCCACAGGCACTGAGCCAAAATAGCCAATTTTGGGCGGTGCCTGTGGCTCAGTAGGTGTACTGAGTGTGGCTGGTTTGAATCTGGCCCTGACCAAACTGCAACAACAACAACAAAAAAATAGGGCAGCACCTGTGGCTCAAAGGAGTAAGGCACTGGTCCCATATGCCGGAGGTGGTGGGTTCAAACCCGGCCCCTGCCAAAAACTGCAAACAAACAAACAAACAAACAAACAAATATAGCTGGGTGTTGTGATGGGTGCCTGTGGTCCCAGGTGCTTAGGAGGCTGAGGTAAGTGAATCGCCTAAGCCCAGGAGTTGGAGGTTGCTGTGAGCTGTGTGGCGCCATGGCATTCTACCAAGGGCAATAAAAAAAAAAAAGCCAATTTTAATCATATTATATGATTCTATTTATATAATATGCTTTTTTTTTCTTTTTTGAGACAAGGTGTCTTACTCTATCACCCAAGCTGGTATGCAGCGTACATTCATAGCTCATTGTAACCTCGACTTCCTGAGCTCCAGCAATCCTCCATCAAGCCACCGCACTGGGCCTTTTTTTTTGAGACATGGTCTCTTGCTATTACTAGGGCTGGAGTGCAGTGCCATCATTATAGCTCACAGGAAAACAGGAAACTCAAACTCCTGAGCTCAAGCAATCCTCCAGCCTGTGTTTCCCAAAGAGCTAGGATTACAGGCAAGAGGCACAGTACCCAGCTAATATTCCTGAAATGAAAAAACTATAGAAACGGAAAAGGAGAACAGGTGGCTCACGCCTGTAATCCTAGCACTCTGGGAGGCTGAGGTGGGTGGATTGCTTGAGTTCAGAAGTTTGAGACTAGCCTGAGCAAGAGCAAGACCCGTCTCTAAAAATAGTCGGGCATTGTAGTGTGTGTCCATAGTCCTGAGAGAGGATACTGGAGAGGGACAAGGTCCAGGAGAACAGGTCTTCTCAGGGAGAGACCACGAGGATGCACCTGCAGGGCCCTCTCCATGGTGACTCAGCTCTTGGGAATTTATTGGCTTAACCTCCTGGAACTTGGAAATTTCCAAGTTCTGTGAAATCCTGTAGTTCTGTAGGGGCTGGAATAGCATCCCCCCGCTTGATTCAAACTGGCCAATGGGAAGGGTACCTGTGGGGTGGAACTTTTTGACTGTCAATAAAAAGGGAAAGACCAAGCCAGTCGGGGAGCATGGCCATTTGGAAATCTTCTATGCCCTAAGCTCCCAGCTGATGAATAAAGCCCTTCCTCTTATTTTTTTTTTTTTTTTTGAGACGGATCCTCAAGCTATCCCCCTGGGTAGAGTGCCATGGCATCACGCTCACAGCAACCTCCAACTCCTGGGCTCAAGCGAGTCTCCTGCCTCAGCCTCCCAAGCAGCTGGGACCACAGGTGCCCGCCACAACGCCCGGCCATTTCTTTTTTTTTTTGTTTGCAGGCGTCATTGTTGTTTGGCGGGTCCGGGCTGGGGATTCGAACCCGCCACCTTAGGTGTATGTGGCTGGCGCCTTAGCAGCTTGAGCCACAGGCGCCGAGCCAGCCCTTCCTCTTATAACTATGGTGTTTGGGTGCTCTTTTTCTCCATTGGGCCTCGTCTTCCTGCAACAGTCCCAGCTACTTGGGAGGCTGAGGCAAGAGGATTGCTTGGACCCAAGAGTTTGAGGTTGCTGTGAGTTAAGATGCCAAGGCACTCTACTGAGGGCGACAAAACAAGACTGTAAGATCTTTGAAGCCTGATTGCCTAAACCCAAATCATGGCCATATTCTAGCACTAGGTGTGTAATCTGTGGTAAATTCCTAGTCTCTCTGAGCCTGTTTCCTCACTTATTAAATGGGAACAATAATAAACCTACTTTATAGTTGTGGACATTAAATAATTATATGTGAGAAAAGCTTGCAGGCTTCCTCAAACTAAGGCCCGCGGACCACATGCCACGTGCCTAGGACATTTATCCAGCCCACCGGGTGTTTTTACCACCACTGTCTGTCCTGCTTAGCAGCCAACTCGTATCCAGGGGCCCGCAGTCCCGCCCTCCAACGGTCTGAGGGACAGTGAACTGGCCCCCTGTTTAAAAAGTTCGAGGACCCCTGGTAGAGGTAGGCTGGGCGCGGTGGCTCACACTTGTGGCTCACACCTGTAATCCCAGGACTTTGGGAGCCCGAGGTGGGCGGATCGCCTGGAACCCAGACTGAGCCTTGCGTTGTTGCAGCGGATACTCCCAGCTAATCAGGAGGTGAGACAAGAGAATCACTTCAGCCCAGGAAGTCTGAGATTGCCCAGCTGTGACGCCAGGGCACTCTACCAGGGGAAACAAAGTGAGACTCTGCCTCAAAAAAAAGAAAGGAAAGAAAAGCTTTGTACGTATATACCCTTATCATTATTAGTGAGCACCTAGGTTGTGCATAGCACTGTGTTGAATACACACATTAATTTACTTAATTCCCAGAATAATCCTGGTAATGTCATTAATGTAACGTCGTTTTAGATATGCAAAAACTGAAATTTGGTGACTACATTTGACTCCAAGAACCATGCTTCCACCAACGCCAGTCGGCATAGGAAAGTTAGACACCTACTTTCAAGACAACCCAGACCAAGAAAGTCAAGTACTTTTGAGGGCTCCCACTGCTCGAGCTCACCACATGGTAGCCTGGGCTGAACGCCCCTACCCACTGTGCGTGAGGCCTGACTTCAACCAGGGACCTTCCACTACAACACCGGTAACAGGGAAGGTGCGACCAGCTTTAAAGCCCGACCAGACTTGAAGAAATGTGCTGCCTTTAATAGTTCTGAGTCTACAGGTGGGGACAGGTGGTAATTCCCCTGCAGGGCAGGGCAAATCGTCCGTTCTGTTGCTGTGGGGCTAGTTCTGAGGCCTGGAACAAAGGACAAGGGACCAGAGCAGAACTCCCATCCGTAGGCACTAATTCCGCTCCTTCCAGGTAGGCTCGGCTCGGTCTGGTTGGGTCCGGCTGGGCAGGTCTTCCCTTTTCAGCAAAGTCCCTCCAGGTAGAAACACCGTTCGCCTCTCCAGCTCTAGAGCCCCGGATCCCTCATTGGCGCAGCTCTAGGTCCGCCCCTTCCGGAGGCGCGAGCGCCGAACTCATCGAACGTAGCCAATGGGTGATGCGACGGCAGCTCGGCGGGAGGTTCGATTGACCCGGCCTGGCGGGTCAGAGAGTCCCGGTGGCTGTTAACGCGCGCTTTGGGACTAGGAGGGTAAAGGGGTTGCTGCTGGGGATTGAACCTATTTCTGCCGTTTTATTCAACCCTTCTTGGGATTCTCCTCCTAACTTGGGTTTTTAAACGGCCCCGCCTGGATCCTTGCCCGACCTCCCTTAGTCCGGGCCTGGCATCTGCATCTACCCCTGGAAGTTCCTCCCTTTCCGGACTCCAGCTTCCCAGTTCTCGGACTTTCACCCCAATTTCTTTCTCTTGGCCTGTGATTGCTGTCCCTTCCCCCACGAAACTACCTTCTTTCTTCACTCCAACTGGGACCATTTTTCCCGACTCTGCCCAGTCTGGGACTCCATCTCCCCGCCCCGCCCCCCCCCATCCAATACTTAAACTTATCTCTGCTTGGACCCTCCTCTTGGCCTAATCTGCCTCCTAGGTTAACTGGCGACTGACACTGACAATTTGGGTCCAAATCCCAGCCCCTGGCTAGATCCCCTCCATCCCCATCCTCTTTAATTAGCCCATCCTCTGAATAATGTAACTCCCTCTACATCAGACTCTGGTCCTGGATTCTTAGCTGCTGCCTTTCTTTGACCTTTGGCTAATGGGTACTTGAGGTTTTATGCTCCTGGCCCCAGAATGGTAAGTATGGACTTAGGGGAGACTGGGAGTAGCCCTGTGTCTGTGTCTATGTCTATTGGGTCCAGACTGCAGAATCCCAGCAGGTACTCAGTTCCCATTCTCTCCTTACAGAGAAGGAGCTTAGCTCCCAGCCAGCTGGCCAAGAGAAAACCGGAAGCCAGATGCTCAGATGATGAAGACTGGCAGCCTGGGGTAGTTGTGAGTAGTGGAGGGGTTAGGGAAGGTGGGAATGCCCAGCTGTTTGGGCAGAAAGGAGACCTGGACTTGGTTTCTGGGGTACATAGCCACTTCTGGTGGCTCTTTCTTTCTTT